GGATCTTCCATGGCAAGCGCGAACAGCTGGGTTGGACCGCTCAGCGACATCGCCATGAAGATTTTGCTTGCCGGTCTTGCGCTTCAGGTTTTGGTATTTTCGACATACATGTGCATTCTTTTGCGCTATCACAAGTTGTCTCGCATGATGGCTGTACCCGAGGCTCCGGCTGGATGGTTCGGCATTCTTAAAGCGGTATACATCTCAAGTTTTCTTATTCTGGTATGTGGACCCTACAGAATGTCTCTTGACCATCGCATTTCGAGCCAATTCTGAACGAAACCGCAGATTCGGTGCGTATACCGGATGATAGAATTTGCCGAGGGCCCAGAGGGCTACACCATGACCCACGAATGGATGTTCTGGGTATTTGAAGGGATCACCATGGTCGTTGCCATCGCCGTCTTTTGCGTGTGGCACCCTGGCAAGTTTCTAGGCCGATTCGGAGAGAGGGAGAAACATGCAAACACTCCCCGAGAGGAAATCATCCGGTCGCAGCAGAACACGTGAATGGCCAGAAAGAATCCCAATTATCAAGGCGGCTGAAAAGTGACTAGGGTAACCGAGTGATCATGTTGTTACATTAGTCGAGGGATCCTAACGTGTTTGAAGATCCGTAAAGAGTGGAGATTGGGCTTCAGGGTCCTAAATGGGAAGTAATACAACACCAAACACGAAGATGAGTGCACAAGCCCACGTGCGTCGGGTTCGCATGTTGCACCTCATTATGTGTCAGCCTCCACTGTGGCTAGAGGATTGATCAGTGATATGAACTACGGATTGAAAATGTGATTGAACTTCAATAGAATATTGTAATTCGATGAGAAAGGCCATTCAGTCGGGACATCTACCACCTGTCACTCAACTCTATGCCAACGGGACAACTCGAGAAAAGGCTACGAGGAAAACTCATTTCATTTGAACGACCGAACAGCTTTGGCAGCTGAGGCTTAATAAGAGAAGAGGAAGCTTAAACAAATGCAGCCACCACGCTTTCGCTGCCACATGAGCATTGCTGCAAGTGATTCCGCTCTCTCGGGCTCGTGTCATCTCTTCGGAACACCTTCCCGTGATACGATGGGGCACTGCCGATATTGGGCAATACACGGCACTGACATCATCTGGCAGATCTAGACCACGGCACAATGCCTCATTTTCTGCATACGAACGAAAAGTTCGGAAAAACATGCACCATGCGAGGAGATCGACCCAAGATTCTGGGAATGCATGAACTGGCACCTAACCTTTTGTGTGTGTATGAATCCATCCCACTGGAACGATACTGCTTGGGCACAGACCGGCTCCGCAAACCAACAAAAGTCTCCTGTCAGTTCCCAAAAGTGGCAGGTGTCCAAGCGAACGGCACCTTGGGAAACAGTTTCATCTCATCTATGACGCCAATCGGAGCTCCGTAACACCCTCATTGGGATCGGCCCCAGGTCGGATTCGGGTCCGAGCATGCTACTACCTTGCGCTGTTGGATCAAAGATCTTGGCCCCGACTTTATCCGTTGTCTTTCACGATGGCCAGCGGCAACGGAAGCTTCGGCGTCCCAAGGTCTGAGGCGTCTGGAGCAAGCTCTTCCAAGAATGTCACTTGGATGCGGGTCAGAGGAAAAATTGGGTCACATCTGCTGGGCTCTTATTATAAGCTTGTATGAGCCTCAACTTAAACCTGACATTCAGGGAGTTGGGCAAGGTTCGCAGTTGAATTGATAATTATCTTGGTTCTCTTTCTCGATTTTTGCTTTTCGGTCTTCTCTGTCTAATCCTGCTTTTCTTCGCTCTGGTTAGCGATCGCAGTGAGGATGAGGGTTTCTATTCTCGCATGGAGCATTTTCATGCTCAAGTTGGGGTTAGCCGTCGCTCAAAATGGACAGGACGTTCGAACCATCCAAAGTTCGTTCGTGCTCATCTCCGTAGCAGCGTCGAATTTGGATGCTGCAGTCCGGGTAGGCGTTGAAGACCATTCATTGAACTGGAACACACACTAACAGATATCAGAGTGTATCGGGTGACCCGGTTAGCACGCAAGCCCTCGGACCGGCAATGCAGGGAGTGGAAAATGCTCTGGCTCAAGCACGCACCGATATCTCCACCACTCAGCCGATCTCGATCACCGATGGAATCGCCCTTCAGCAGACGGCTGAGACCCTGGCCAAGAGTGTGAAGATTATGGTCATGTCCACGATGCTACAGCGAACGATGCTCGATCAGACTGGAGCGACAGCCGGACTTATTCAGTCTTTCAAGAATCAAAACATGCTCTCGGGAGCTCTCGGCCAAGTTGTTCTTTCGAAACTGCCCGCGGAGGGCCTATCAGGAGCCATGATGGCGTTTGGTGGAGCTGCTGGATCTATCGGAATGGGTATCGCGTCGTTGAGCGCTCCTCCTTTGCAGTTGCCGTTGATGCCGCCGGGCCCTTCTGGTCCATCTGCGATGACTCCCCCGCCTGCACCTGCTGGCGCTCCCGCTCCCGCTGCGCCAGCTGCTCCGGCGGCTCCGGCTATGGCACCACCGGCCGCTGCTCCAATCCCCGCTTCACCCGCAGCTCAACCTAACACGACAGCAGGAAGGAAGCATGCGAGCAAATCGAAGAAAAGAAACTTCTTCAGTTGATCTGGGGTGGTGTACGTTAGGTATGACTACATGTAATCAAGTTTCCATGTTGGATGCCGAAAGCAAAAGAGACTGGAAACATACTTATTCCGTGACATTCTAAGCATGGTGTTGACTAAATGACGTGGGGAATTGTGGCACAATTTGAGACTTAAGACTGCAATGAAAGTTGAACAGATAGGTCATTGGTACTTTGGAGTGTCAATTCTGGCTAGCCCCATAGAGCATTTAAATATTGGACCTTCCCCATGATAGAGTGCTGAAAAAGGCTACTTATTCACTCAAAGTGCATGTTACCCATAGGCAGCTGCAAGTTCCTAGCAATGGTCCGCGGAATCGTCGGAATGTGAATGTCCCACATGCTACTCGTCGAATGATTGGGATCCTGGGCAGCGCTGCCACGATCTTGTCCCCGGTGGTACCAATTGAGAGCCTCTCCTCCTGCATTATCTCCTCTATTGTAGGTTTTAATGAATCGGCCTCCCCAAATCTTGAGGAAAATGTAACCCAGTGTCTCGCGTGGCTGTGACTCTTCATAGCGCTTCCTCAAAAAGCTGCTGACATCGATATCCTCCACGTAAAGGCATGTACGAAGCCGAAGTTCTGCCTCGAACTCGCTTGCAAGTCCTTCTGTGCCCATTTCTGAACCGTCTAAAGTGATCGTTTCGAGTGATGGAGTTGCCTCAACCAAATGTAGGACCCTCGAGAGTGCCAAGTCTCTGGGAATGGTACCAAAAGGACCAAATGAGGCGATATCAAGGGTCCGAAGATTGACTGCATGCTTAGAGAAGTTCTCAATCAGGCTGGGTCAGTCGTCACCTAATGCAAGGTCTTTGACATTCAGTCGGAGGAGTCGAATTGAGCGCAAGATGGGGTGGAGGAATGACGACCTCCAGGCAGTGGGCTTGTGCGATAGCATCGGAGCATCAATGACGAAACGATTGTGTCGACCGATGTAAGTCCAGTGCTTCTGTTTGTATTTGTCGGCAGACCTGGAGCAAGGGACGCTTCAGAGTAGTGAGCGGGTAGTGACGGCCGATGTGTATACGACGGTACGTGGATACATAACGGTCGGTGATTGTAATGTTTCCACTATCCACCACTGTCTTGTCTCTGGGAAGGGACCCAGTTAAGTCGTATGCTTCAATTCGTTCAAAACTCACTTGCAGTTATCAAAGGCTTAATTTACGATGTGTTGGAATTGGATGCCTAAATGAGCAGACAACACAGGAACCCCGGGAACATTTTGGTCCCTGCAACACCTTGTCCTTCTGTGCTCTACCTACTGACTTCCTCTCTCGCCTCAAACGCAAGCTTCACATGATACACCGGATAGTCATAGGTCGACTTCAGTTCACAAGCCAACACCTGATAGCTAAGCCTCCCCTCTTTTGTCAAACTATTAGTATTCGTTTGTTCACAAGAACACAAGAAACTTTCCTTTTTGAGACTTGTTCAAGCCACATGAATCCAAGTCCCTAATGCACCGTCCATCGCAAGCATACTCCACTCAACATCTAGCGTGGATAGCCACCATCCCAACGATGGACTCAATGTCATCGAAATGCTGGGAAACTCCTATAACTCCGAGTGATTTGCTGTCGGCTAGGTGCCTGAGAAACAGAGCCGCACGTCGACCATCTTTGAACTGAAAGGATCGACTTGAGTCTTTGACTTTGCGGGAGCTTTCGCAAGGTCCGGACTTGAGTGACTTTCATGATTTTGGAATTGAATGAAAGCTGGCTTTGTGATGTACCAGCGAAATGTAAGAATCTAGACTGCCTATTTGACAAGCTACAGTATCGCATGGAACGAGTGCCTTGCATATTTGTAATCTCAACAGAACATGGGCGACATAAAGCAGTGGCATCGGATCAGAAAGACGAGGTAACCTCTTTCGCCAAAAGCATTGCTCCCTGCAACCTGCTTTGGGCTTTGAAGACGAGATGTACATATCTTTGTGTCATTTGGTAAAGGGCGCCTTTGCTGGACTGAGAACGACATAGTAACATATCGCCTCACAAAAACAGGCGACGTCCACGATGAGATCCCGAATGACCTAGCCGCTTTGTGGTCACAATGGCTAACTCGAGGCCTAGCATTTCGATAAGAAACTAAAAGACCTCTCACTAATGTGGATGTCCATTCTAGATGATAACACTACGTTCAAGTTGAGGCCCAGGATGGTTTCCATCCTCGAAGGGCGGTCGATTCAGTGTTTCTCACTTTCAATGTCAAATGGAATAAGGGGGTGGGAGTCGCTAATAACTTTAAGGAGAGTTTCTGTCTCAATCAAATCATTCATTGCTAAACTAACTAAAAAGACAGAAACATTTTAGGCCCAATTGTGGGTACTAGCATGCATGAGAACTGCCCACCGCATCAAAGAATGTTAGAAGGGACCACCATGCCCAGTTCCCTGGTTTTGATGAGTTAGTCGCGGTCTCAACGTTTTGCAAATCAGATTGACTTACTTGCACCAAGCCTTCCAATGATCGGAGACTACCGCGAGATTCGACTTGTTGGACATGTGGCTCATCCATTGAGACAGTCCTCGGTCAGGGTTCTCGAAGAATCTTGCAACGTGGTCAGGAGACGCGCTATCTTTGCACAACTGGTTAATGACCCGGCGTTCCAGATACGAATAGTCAAAGAACATCTCAGGTGTATCTCGCTGAAACATCTTTTGCAACTGGCCAAGCCAGACAACTGCCGGGAGGTCCACAGCGCTGAGAGGACGGTTTCCAGCCTGGGAACCGCGAAGTTTTCCCAATTCAGCCTCGACAGCGCTCCTCACAACCCTGTCACTGAGTGATAGCTTCCAGATCCCTGTTTTCTCCCAGGCGTAAAAGAGATGTTCGAGCAGCGGGATGCCGCGCAACTCCCTGCGAAACCCGAAAGTGTTCCTCTGTGATTCGCATTTGATGTGGAAGTTGAGACATTTGGTAATGTCTTCAGGAGTCAGGTCGGTCTTCGAGATCTGTTTGAGGTGGCGATGCAGGGGGACAACCCTCTGCGCGGCTAAAGCCAGGCGGTCGGCGGTAGCGGTTTTGGTTCTAATCTCGCTCAGTCTGAGTCCCTGGGAGCGCCAAAACCGAATGATACATTGATCAAAAGTCCGAGGTGGCTCCGGGGCAAAGATGGCTGCCTTCTGCAACTCGATCAAGACTTCGAGATCCTTCCAACGAGGCACGGTATCGAGGCTCAAAATGCGAATGGCGTTGTACTGGTGAGCGACAGCCATGAGGGATCCGGAATAGCTGACACTGAAAGTCTCTGCCAAATGTGAGGTAAAAGACGCGCTGCAGAGAAGGCTGCCAAGGAGGATCGGGTTTTGGATGAATGGTTTTCCATCCGAGCCATGAAGCAGAGCAAATCGGTAATGTTGCCAGGCCGTGACTTCGTTGCCAGCTTGCGTCATGAGGCGGGCAAAAGACCTTGCGTCTTGCAATGGTCTGTAGTTCAGGTTTTTCACCAGGTCTTTAGTAATGTCGCGATAGGTCCTGCACATTGCCGCCGTGCTGAGACGGACGGGAGAGCCTGCCGTTTTCGATGGTTCTGAGACCAGGCGGGATGTGAGAAGGTCGAGACAGTCCACAGATTTTCCTGCTGCCAGAGACTCGCGTTGAAGATCAAAGAGCCTCCGGAGCTCGAGACCTTTCACTTGAAAAAGTGGGATCTCCGGAAGGCTCCAGGGCTCGTCCTTGATTCTAGCTTCCAGGTTCGACTCGCTGTCTAGGTTCTCCAACATGAATGAGACGTCGCAAAGCAGCCAGTCTTTCATATTTGACTCCGACAGCCATAGCCTTTTGTCGACGTTCCGGAGAGTCTTGTCATCCCAGCGCTGTGAGCCCTCTGCCGCACTGTCGGGCCAGAAAGAGCTCTGTCCTAGCCCACAGAAACAGTACATGGCGTTCGATATTGACTCCAGGTTGTCAAGGTATGGGTGCTTCTGGATGAAGACGGTCTCAAGGTCAACGAGATGCTGGAAGCCTGCCTGAGTTACAAGCCATGCGGTGACGAGGTCAACTTTGGAGCTTGAATATCCTGTCCACAACCGCTGCAGGAAAAGACGAATATCGCGACAATCTTTGAGAAGACAACCGAGCTCCATCATATGGTTGTCATCAAAGGCTACCCAGCCACTCTGTTCAGTCTCTTGGGAACAATGCTCTGCTTGTGATGTCTTGTGGGTTGCGGCTCGGTCAGGCCGAGTCGCATCATTTTCCGTGGAGAAGCCAGCAGAGACGTCTTCATCAGAGGATTGGCAATGACCATCGTCATCGTCGGCGAGGACGGCGAAGTAGTTGGTTTGGGATGTGTCTCGGTCCGACGGCGTCGCGGAGGAGGGCTTGCTCGTGGGCGGGGAGGCGGAGGGTCGAGTCGCCTCCGGCTTGGAATGAGCAAAGGCGTCAAGAATCCTCTGAAGGCTCTCGTTGAAAAAGGTATGAGTTGCATTCGCGGCCTCTGAGCCGTGCTGTAGAAACCACTCCGCACATCGACGGCGGAGGCAGAGCGACTCCTCCAGCGCCTTCCTCGTCTCCTTCGGCATCACTCACCCCGCGTTTGCACATGCTATGGCCAGATCCACCAACTCCCACACTTTGTACTGGCGGGGAGAGGTGATTGCGGTCTTGAGTTTGCTCGCTTCGAGGACGAGCCAGTCGAGGGCTTCAGCGGTCTTGAGCTTGTACCGCTTGTAGGAGGAGGATAGGTCGCTGTAATCCATCATCGCGCGATCCAAGCTGCGCGAGGGCAGCGGTTGATGGGTTGAGCGTTTGCAGGTTGTTGGATCCGCGGGAAAATGATCTGCAAATGTGTATCAGTAAAATTTGATCGTGATTTCTTCAGAGAACTGGGAGATTGAAGCCGACGGGCATCGCAAACTGCGCGGAGGATGACACTCACTGTATTGACCTTGCTGCTGGGAAGGTGAAGGAAGAAGTTTTTTTCAAAACGTCTGCGAGGAAAGGAAGTTCCCACTTCGACCAGGTTCGAAAGAGAGGCAAGCGGCAACCTGCATACGGACGGTATGTTCTGTTTGCGCAGACCCACTCTGCGTATTCTGCTGCAACTCTTCGACGGACGAATGAAGTTGGGAGACATAATTGAATGCCACCGGAACTCATGAGCTGGCTTGATTTTACATTTAATAGGGAGTAAAATGTACAAGATGACTCAACGCCTTCATAGCGAGGACTGACCACCTGGAGCAGCGTGAGCGCTGACACCCGAGGGTCCATGAAAGCCCCTTTAAAGTCTATCATGGGGAACACCGCAGTCCATGATATCAATTCTTTGTTACGCTGACCATAAAAGCTTCCAGTGATCAAACGCAAATTCTTTGTAAGACAGCAATTTCTTTATATAGATTCACTGTCACCGTAGTTATTGTTGTGCTACAAGAGGCCCATCTCTTTCGCAGTGCGTAGTTATTACGAGTAACGGCCAGACAGCTAACGCAAAAGCATTGGAAACAAAGTAAAACAAAATTCCACACTGAAATAAATGATTAGAATATACCGAGTGTAAATCGAGTACATTTGTATCAGTAAATGAATATGAGTTTGTGTTTAGAAGGTAAGCCATCATTCCATGGGTGTGAGCGGTGCGTGGAAGCAGGGATTGACGGAGGGCTGACGCACACATGCGGTACTAGAATCCCCGGTTCGTGGCGGGTACGATTTGAGCGGAAACATGAAGCTTCTAAAGTACAGATTGATACAAAACCAGATAGATATGAAATCTGGTGAGCTGCGGCCAGCTAATGTTCTAACCGAGGGCCGCGAGCATGCTTCTGAAACCGCCATTGGCGCTGACAGCAGCCCCGTTCACCCATCTGCCTTCCTCACTGGCAAGGAACCCGACAATGTAAGCAATATCTTCCGGCTCTCCAAATCTTGGAGCAGCAGACGTCTCTGCGATGTACTTATCCTTTAGCTCCTTCGGCATAGACTTTGTGACCTCCTCAAATGCATCCGTAAGAGTCGGCCCCACGATGACGCTGTTGAAAGTGATACCCTTCTCAGACGAGAACTGGTCGGCGAACGAGCGCGTGAAACTGTCCAGCGCAGCCTTGCTCGCGCCGTACGTAATCATGGGATTCCCATTGGGGAGGCGACCGGCCACACTCGAGATGTTAATCACGCGCCCGCCGGCCTTGGGCGCCGCGTGCTCCATGTAGGTGATCGTGGTGGCCACGGGGGCGTACACATTCGCGACCATGACAGCGGAGAAGTTATCCGCGTTGAGCTCGGGAGTGGCCTTGTAGTGGTCGATGCTGGCGAGGACGGCGTTGTTGATGAGGATGTCGATGGTGTCCACTTTGAGGGCCCCGAGGGCCTGCTTGATCACATCGGGCCAGGCGTCCGGGTTGAGCGCGTTGGCCTTGATGACGACGGCATTCTTGACGCCGAGGGCGCGGCACTTTTCGATGGTGTCGTCGGCGGCGGATTGATTGGCGGCGTAGGTTATGGCGATGTTGGTGAGGCCCTTGCGGGCGAGGTGGATGGCGATGGCTTTGCCGATGCCGCGGGAGGCGCCGGTGACGACGGCTGTCTTGCCGGCGAGGGACCAGGGCTCTGCGGTGTTGATGGGGGCAGACATGTTTGATAGTGACTGATGGATGAAGAAGATGATTTTGATGTTGAGTGTAAGGCTTGGTGAGGGAATGGTGAGTTGAATGGTGTCGAGAAGATAATCTCAGTTAACCCATCCCCTAGCAGTCTTTTTATACTTGTCGAGGTGAGTGATATTGACACCTTCCAACCTTTGGTGAGTAACAGGCCTTTCTCTCGCCATACAGAATCTCATCAGACTTATGATTACCACATCAAGGTTGAATCTTCGAAGTTACCAAGCCGGGGCTTCATCCCTCCGCAATATTGGTAGCAAGATCATCAACACGACTTGACCATGCGGCCATGACGCCGAGTCGTTCACCATGTAAGTCCCGAGTAGCATTGAAATCGCATGAATATCCAAAACGTCGATCTCTTGTTAGGACCACAACACATTCAAGCCGCAAGACCATATCGCGGCTTGGCACCGGGATATAACTGCGCGGGTTAAACCAGATGACTCCGAATGTGGGACCCTGCGTCTAGGCAGCTTATCCGTGAACGGGCTCCGAACATGAACGAGGGCTGAGCAATCAGTGAGATCATACAGCATTAATGTTAAGGGAGTTGGTTTGACGAAGTTCCTTCGGTTTCGGATGTGAGAGAAGCCACATGGCACTGGCCGGGAACCTGCAGCGGATGAAAATGCGGCCCCATACGGCTCGGGTCTAGCGGCGGGATGTGTTGCGCGCAGGACCGTCGAGCCTGGTGATTCGGCCGAACAGCCGGAGATGCGGTGATTGATAAGCTGACTCCAAGGCAGCAACACTCGCGTCTCATGGTTTAGCGTCCGAATCCCAGCATTATCGTCCCGATTGAATCGCCGTGGGCCGCCGTGGACTGCCGTGGCCCTCCGTGGGCATTCATCGCATGAAGTGCCGAGAGCAGTGGAAATGACGGTTTAAGTCCAGGTTGTTTACATCTTGCAACTGTTTCATCAACACATCGTGTCTGAGATACGAGAACTACGATACAGAAGGGGAATCTAGCCAAATAACACGCTGTTCCCAAGTAACCCTTCCTAAGACACTCACTCTTACACTCTCAATTTTTTCACCGAACAAAAGGAAAACCAGCCGATTTAGAAACCGAGAAGGATCTTCCTCCAAGGAATCTTCTTCTTCTCTGCACCCGTCGCCGAAGCCCCGTATCCCTCCTCCTGGACATTGTGTTGTCCCACGATGGCCAGAAAAACATCATTGAGCGTCGTGGGACTGACGCTGTGGTGCTCAATACCCAACGCATCCTTATTCTCCTCGAGCATCAAAATGAGCTGACCGATGGCACTCAAACTGCCCGCCGGCCCGTCGGTCTCGCCTTGTCTCCGCTTGCTCGTCTCCTGAACCTGCTGCGCGCGCGCAAGCACGTCAGCCGCAGAGACGGAGAATCGCATCTGCCCATGGTATGTCGCCGCCTCGATGCTCGCATTGGGGAACATCATCTGCACCCACTCGCGCATCCGGTCCATCTCCTCCGGCGTCGAGTGCGGCGCGCTGCGACTAACAAGATGGACGTATAACGAATCTCCGAAGCGCGCCTGCAGCGTCTCGACCTCGCCGATGGCAAGCATCCGCTGCGCGACGATGCCGGCGCGATTGGCTAGCGCGTCGGCCTCTTCCATACTGTGCGTAGTGAGCAGGATCGCGCGGCCCGGGACGATGGTGCTCAGGGTGCGCCACATGATGCGCTTGGCGGCTGCGTCGAGGCCGGACGAGGGCTCGTCGAGGAGGATCACGGACGGGTTGCCGGTGAGTGCGATACCCAGCGAGAGCTTGCGCTTGTTGCCGCCCGAGAGGTGCTGTGCCATCGTGTTCACGTGGGCGTCCAGGCCGACGGCGCGGATGACGGCTTGGACTTGGTACCCGACGTCCGCGATGCCCCTGAGACGCGCGTAGTGGCGCAAGTGCTCAAGGACGGTCATGGAGTCTATGGCGTCGAACTGCGGGCACACGCCGAGGTTGGAGCGGGCGAGGGCGCGGTGGTCGGTGATGGAGACGTGCTCGACGAGGACGTCGCCGCCGTTCTTGCTGGGCTGGATGTCGCCGCGGATGAGGGAGATGGTGGTTGATTTGCCGGCGCCGTTGGGGCCGAGAAGTGCGAAGACCTCGCTGTGGCGGACGCCAAAGGTGACGTTGTCGACAGCGGTGAATTTTCCGAATTTCTTGGTGAGGTGCTTTACTTGCAGGCCGTCGTCTGAGCCGGTTGTTTCGACGCGGACGACTTCGTTGGCGACTTCTTGGTCGCTGTGGTCTTGCTCGCCCTCAGTCTGGTGTGTCTTCTTGCGCTTGAGAAAAGCGGGAAGTTGGTTTCCACTGTCGTGCCACAGCAAGGCGCAGAACAAAAGAATGGCTTGGAGGGACAGGTATAGGATTGGGCCTCCGTAGGCGTTGAGGGTGCCGGGATAGCTGTAGAAAGCGGTGCTGTCGCAGGCCAGGTTGAACGTGTTCAGGCCGATGATCATGGCGCGGCAGACATTAGCGACTGGGAAGAAGGCCGCAACGGTGTAGTGCCCGATCAAGATATTGCGGTCGCTGACCGTAGCCGGGGAAAAGGTCAAGATGTAGAGGAAGGCGATAAGATAGATGGCAAAGCCCACGCTGTTGTAGGCCATGATGGCAGCAAAGGTAGCAACTTGGCTTTTCATGAAGAGGGAGAAGATGTAAGAGAGAAGAATCGAGGTCAGTCCGTAAAGGACGAACACCGGGAAGAGGTAGCCAGGGGCGTACCATACATCCGACGTCGCTACGAAAATGACGGCCGCGATGATGAGGGCAACGACGAAGATGCCGTAATCAAAGGTAATATGAGCCGTCCAGAGGGGTAGTGATCGGACTCCGCTGGAGTATTGTAGACCGCGCACGTTGGAACGCCGCTCGACGTTGGGGTAGAGCCCGAAGAAGGCTGGGACGATGGAGAGGACGATGCTGAAGAAGATAGCCAGTTGGATCGTGTCGATGTTCGCGGCACCGAAGGCGCTGTCGAAGGAGATGTACCTTGTGGCAATGTTGGCGTTTGTCAAGGCGACGGTGAGAAGGTTCTGAGCGACGACGGCGGCGGGAATTGCCTCGTAGTCTTCGGTGTCTGCTCGCCACGCCACAGTCGGGAGCCCGTTATCGTTCGAAGCCCAGAAGCCTCCAGGCATGAGGTTCTTCCTCTCATCGTCCACATAGTCCCGCAGGTCAGCCTCGGACGAGATGCTGTTCAGCGTAAAGTTGCCCGATTCTGGGGCCAACACATCGACGAGAGAGGTAAATGCAGTTCCATTCACGGCCGCAGCTGGTCCGGCAGCGACACGCATGTTCTCAATGACACCATCGTACATGCCGCTCGCTGCTCTCCCGTTCCCGTCTGTGGGGGTGCAATTGGACGCAGGCTTATCATTGATGAGAATCTGCATGATGGCTGCGGCAATGACGGGGATGAGGAAAGCAGCCACAAAAGGGACCCAGTTGGTCTTGAAAAGGGTGACGCGCTTGTACACCAACACCGTCATCTGCTTCAAGAAGCCCGTCTGACGACCCGACTGGAGACCGAGCGAGTTACGACCGCCGTCTGCCATTCCCTTCTCGGTAATCTGACCTGAGTCATCGGAGAACCTCGCGCCAGGCGCAGGGCGAGACTGGAGGTCTTCTCCCTGGACCTCTTCGGCGACGTTGAGGAATACATCTTCGATGTTGGGACTGTTGATTTTGTACAGAAGACTCGCTGCTTCGAGAGCGCGGATGACCTCTGCTGCGAGGTTAGACGACGGCGCAGTGTAGACGATCGTATTTGATGAGACTTTCAAGTCGACGCCGTGGACTTCGGGGGCTACTCTGACGTTCTTGGCGTTCAGGACGTGGATGCGGTAGCCGGCGCCCAAGGAATCCTTGAGCGCGACCGATGAACCCTCTGCTCTCAGTTTGCCCTTGGACAGAATAGCGATGTTATCCGCGAGGAGATCAGCTTCGTCGAGGAAGTGCGTCGTCATAATGATGGTCCGCCGTCCCCTTTCTGCCAGCAGGATGTCCCATATCTTCCTCCGCGAGAGGGCGTCGATGCCGGACGATACTTCGTCGACGCAGCACACGGCGCTGCCGCCGGTCAACATCATACCGAGCTGCAGCTTGCGCTTCTGCCCGCCGGACAGGGTCTTGGACTGAGCGTTCTTCTTGGAACCGAGCCCGATGGCGTCAATCAGCTGTGCCATGTCGTCGCCCCCGGTCGTGTACCCCGTGGACTTGAGCTGGTTGAAGATGCGAATGTGCTCGGTGACGGTCAACTCGTCCCAGAGAACATTCTTCTGGGGGGCAATCCCGATGCCGCCCGATGCGTCTATGGACACGCTACCCTGGTTGAAGCGGCTGATGCCAGCGATCGCGTCGAGGGTCGTGCTCTTCCCGCTGCCGTTGGCACCCAGCAACGCGAGGATCTGGCCCCTTTTTGCCGTGAGGTTGAGATTGTTGACGGCGACAGTTGGCTCGCGGGGCTTCGAGACGAAGGAGAAGATGCGGCGGAAGAGGCTTGGCTTGTAGATCTTCGTGAGCCCGTCGATGTAGACTGCTTCCTGCGGTTGAGGCCCGACGCCTCTGTAGATCCTGCGACTCTCAGACCCGACGCCGTGGATCTGGCGCTCGACAAAGGCTGCCATCAGAGGGTAGACAAGGAACTGGATGATGAGAAATATCCAGAGGACGATGCCGGGGAGACTTGAAGCGCCGGTTGGGGGTCCCTTGATGAGGTTCATCGGCCGGCCCTCGGCCTCAAATCGAGCGATCGACTTGATGAAGAAGACGAAAGCGCAGGGGGTGAATAGCAGACTGAGGACAGCGACGGCGGCCGTCGGCGGATCGGGAATCGCCTGGGCTAAGACGCCGAGCAGGACGTACACGAGGGAGTTAACCACACCGGAGAGCTGTGCTTTCTTGAAGAACGTGGCGCCGAGGATCGCTTGCGACGTCAAGGCGAGGCCACCAAGGATGAAGAAGATGATGATGATGCCGATGTTGGTCTCCTTCCATATCATGGTCCGCGCGATGATGGAGGCGACCAGCCAGCCGGGGAAGTAGATCGTGGCGAAGGAGTAAAAGTTGGCGACCATCCGGGCGACCTGGGGCTCCCACTCGTACCGGGTCGACATCATGGCGTCGATGAGCTGGGAGAGGCCCTTCTCGCGCTCAGTGGCGACGTGGCCTGGCAGGTGGTAGCTGACGCCGATGAGGGCGAGGACGAAGGAGACGGCGAGGTAGTCGATGAAGGTCTGCTGGTAGCGCCGTCTGACGGAGGCTTCGCGCTCGTCTTCGGTCTCGTCGGTGAAGCCCCATTCTTGCAAGTTGGCAAGCGGATCTGAGTTTCCTTCGGTGGAGTTCAGCCGCACAATGGCGGAGTTCACCGCGCGCTGGAGAGGCAGGATGTAAACCTGGGCATCGTTGTCGCTCTTGCTTACCTGGAACTTTTGTCCGAGGGCGGGGTCGCCTCGAAGCGTGTAATTCCAGAGACCGCCATCGCCCTCACTTGGAGAAGAGTGGAAGACAACAGCGCCGTAGCATGGCGTCGTTCCCCTCGTGGCCGTTTGGCATATGAGACTCAAGTCGTCGACGTTGGCGATGGTGGTGGCGTTCTTGCCGGCCGCAGCGACCTCGTCCGAGAGGGAGGAAATCACGCGCTCGATGTCGCCGCCCGTGTTTCCGTTGTTGACAAACACGACGGTGTTGCGAGAGCCGTCGGCGGCGGAGAGACCGTCTTGTAGGGATCGGACGGCGCGCGGGTCGGCGATGCCGTAGTCGTTTTGGGGCCCGTTGAGATTTCGACCGATGCCCAGGTAGATTGTGAGGATGATGGGAAGGATTAGAGCTGTGTAGATGGTTGATCCGGTATGTCGAGATATGAGAATGATGTAGTTCTTGATTGTCAAGATGCCGATCTGGCGCAGCAGTGCGGATCTTGTGGCCGCCATTGCGGCGGTTGAGCGCAGTTCAGCAGATGCCGATGGTCCTGAACGCTGTTGTAGGGAGGTTCTTGTGAATAATCTGAATCGTAGTAAGCCTCAGCCGATGAACATTAATATGGTGAAATCAAGCTTGCGAAGGGCAATTTCCAAAGACTTTGATAAGTTGTCGATTTGAAGAGACCTGATGTCGACACAGCGGCTAGGTGAAATAGCTGATCCTTATGCAGTGATTCAATGTAAGCTTTCAAGTAAATTCCAAGACAGCAAGCTCACGAACGCAGCGGCGTCAACATCCTTTTGAAAGAATAAGCAGACCTCAAAAGTAAGGGACCCTGCTTGTGTGACGCGCCGCCCAACAAGCCGGGCATTCAATCACAATCGCACCGCCGCCGTGTTGTATTCCCAATTGGGTTATTCGACGGGGGGGGCACGCAGCAAACGGTCAACACTACCGCAAGCTGCCTGGGGGAACAGCCTGATGACATCTAACCAGGTAGGCGGACCGTGTTTACTCGCTGTCAGATATGGCTCATCAGGCGCAGCCATTGGACAAGTTTCGAAGGCCAAGAATCTGACAAGATCACTTTTCACACGTGCCGTGCCCTATCGTGCCTAAATCTTCTGTCAATATCGCGCAGGGCGAGCGTTGTACGGGGACACATCCATTTCCTCAAAGGAGTTTAGCGTTGGTGTCTCAGCCCATTGCAGCCACTTTGCCAGGATATGACGCTGGTTGGAGGGAGCAACAGTCTCCCGGGCGGTCTTTGGGATTGCTGACTGCAGATTTGCAGGTAGGCGTAATACTGTCTTTTCCTCTTTTCGGCAGAGATGCGTTTCGGAGACGGCAACGCGGGCTGTTTTCAGCCCAAGAGAGTGGTGCGCTCCGCGGAATCAGCGTGCCGGGGCATCGCATCGTGGTGGAGAGACATCGGGAGCTCCGTGTTGTTCGGCGGTTCAGCGCCCGGATGACGGCTCAGCCCTCGGTCCCCTTTCAATCCGCTGGTGGTCGTCGGGTGCAAGCACAATGATGTTATCTGATATATCGCTAATGATTTGAAGTGTACACAATATGCCTTGCCAATCTCATGGCACCCTTCCAGAGCTGGTATTACCCCGTACATGAAAAATCCCGTCGCTAACACAAAATAAGTCGCCCCTGCAGCCCACAGGAAACGCTGCCTGGAGAACACAGTCCCCTAAAGATTCGCCCTGCTGAATGGGTCGCTCTTCATCACCTCCTCGACCTCCTTGTACGCATCGTAGCCGTACAGCCACGGCTGGACCTCGGGACATGTCCATCTGCTTGGGAAGGGGCCCTTCAGTTCTTTGCCGAGTTGAGACAGGAAAATTTGGTCTCTGGCTTCTTGCTCTGGGCCGTCTGGCATGTGGAAGTCATGGCGCTGTAGCGGAAGGTTAGCTATTGATCAGCGTGCCGGATGAACAGCTGCACCCACCTGCTTGAACGTCTCCCTCACAATCGCCTCACCGCGGGCTTTGCGGAGCTTCTCGTACAATCTCAGCGCAGTTGGCAATTGTGACTTGGTCGTGAGATGACCCAGCAAAAGACCCAGGACAGCGCCGTCTTCCACCGCCGAGTTGGCGCCCTGGGCGAGATACGGCAGCATGGGGTGGCATGCATCTCCACTGAATTCCACTCGTTAGCGAACATCTAGCGATGAATCGCAACTGAGAGGAAGCACTTACACGAACACAAAGTTGGACTTGTCGCTCACCCATGAAGGCATCTCTTCTCCTGGAGAAACATTAGTACGACTGTTCGCAGCATGCGCTTCATCAACAACTTACTGTGCATCAACTTCCACTTCTCAACACTGTCAACAGCATCAAGGAACTTCCTCAAAATCGGGTCCCAACCCTCAAACCGCTGCCTCAACTCATCAACATCACCAGCCTGTCTGCTCACCCCCGTCGGCAAGTCATCCGGCGCCAGCACCACCAGATTATACATCTTCTCCGCCCGCATCGAGTATCCCACACAATGCGTGCCGGGCCCAACCCAGAAATGCACCTGCGGATTCTCAATCCACGCCTTCAGCTCCGGGTCGGTGATCTGGTCAACGTTCAACACAACACGGTACGCCAGATCGCCGGTCGCCAGCGGCGGGTCGTCCGCCTTGAGAAAACACGCGCGCGAGCGCGACCACAGCCCGTCGGCGGCGACGATGAGATCCGCCCGAGCCTTGACGCCGGACTGCGTGGTCAGCTCGGGCAGGTCGAAGTCGATGCTGTCCACCTTCTCGCCGAGGGCGAAGCGCACGCCAAGCTCCTTGGCGCGCTCGTACAGGGACAGCTGCAGGTCGACGCGGTGCAGGTCGATGAAAGGGGCCTGGTACTTTGCGCGGATGTTCTTGTTGAAGTTCTCCTCCTTGGCGAGGACGCTGCCCGAGTAGCGGTGGACGACGAGCGTGTTGGGCTCCGAGGCGGATTTCCAGAGGCGATCTGGGAGGCCCCATTTCTGCAGGATGCGGGTGGAGTTTGGCGTCACTTGCAGGCCTGCTCCGACCTGGGGGGGATTTCTGTCAATATCTCATGGAGAAGTCTCATGGTGGGATGATGAGATCTCACCTCGAGCAGCTCCTTTGCGGATTCAAAGACTGTGACTTTGTGCCCTGAGAGAGCTGCCGCTACTGCCGTTGCGAGGCCGCTCAGACCGGCGCCGACGACTATGATTTCCAGTTGTACTGATGATCTGGTGTGAGCAGTGACCTGATTCATCATGTTAGCTACCATGACACGCCATAACCACGCGTAGAATCGATCAAACACAGGCACCACTCACCGCCATGTTGTCGGATTTCTCAGCCGACGATGCTGACGCTCTTGGGAAAATCAACGAGTTAAGCCACCGAAACATGGTATCGTCGTTCGGGCTCGGCAGCTTCAATAAGAACTTGAGACGAGATGCGTAGAAAAAAGAGAGCTTGGGTTCGGTCGCAATGGCAGGACTCCCTTACCACTCAAAGAATGCACCACCAAGAACACGGTCGGATCGAAAGAACAGCTCGATCCAAGTGTTCAACCCATGTTCTTCTTCAAATCTTTGTTGGGAATGCGCTTCCGGCAAGTCCCCCTTCTCTGCCTAATTTGCCGCCCGCCCCCCCCCACCCCCCCCCCCCCCCCCATGCTGTAGGCTTCCCCGGAGATCCCCCACACTGCGAGCCGGAGGCGCGGGAGCGTCCCGCGGGGGCATTATTTCTGGGTGGACGCAGTAGTGGGAAATTGAAATTGGTGGTGGACGGCGCTGGATGCGCTGGCGGGAAATCCGGGGTCTCGGGTTTTCCGCGCTGTCGCCGCCGCGTCTCCCAGCCGCCTGGCGGGCCACTGTTCACGGCTGGTTACGAAGTTCCCACTGGAATCAAGCCGAATGGAAGGATGGAGAAGTGGATATACGGGGGTCTCGTAACGGAGGCGAAATCGGCAAAGCCGGCAACGGGTTTCTGCTGCGTGGAGAGGTTCTAGGGTCTGTTGTTGGTGGCCCAACTGTTGCTGTGTGATGAGTGTGTTTCGGCGGTTTTTCGTATGTGCGAAATATGCGTGCGAGCGACCTCGGCGCAGTCATCTGCCGATTATATCGGCCGTTGTTGTCAGCGGCTTCGGGGCTCGGCATGTCATCCCACGGCAAAAACCAAGCTGCTCAAACTTAGACGCTCTCCCTGATTGTCACTGCGAGGAACAACAAGTTTCAGGACTCTTGACAAGTCTATTTCTTAGCAACTTCTGTTTTTGGCAACTCTGCATCCGACCGAGAAGCTATTCTTGTTGTGTCGTCTCAAAAGTTCACACCTGTCTTACCACCACCTCCTCCTCCACCTCCTCCTCCACCTCCGCTATCAACCCCGCACAATGGCGCCCAAGGGTCCTTACAAGCTGGTGACCGTCAACACGGCCCCTGAGCGCGCAAAGCGCCTCGTCGGCCGCATGATTGAGGCTCTCAAGGACCGGTACACGATTGAGCATGTTGCAAACTGCGAGAGTAAGCCATTTTCTCCGACATGACAGCTGTGCTTGGTAGCTGACGATTTTCGCAGGGATAGATGAGGTCGAGGGCAAGGTCAAGGAGCACATGCCTGATGTTCTGGTGAGTTGATATTCCCGCTTTGAGAGAGATTTCATCTGACGATAGCAAAGTTCTGCGCCTCAATGTGGACTGCGGAGGAGGCCAACCAGATCCTGTCTACGGCGAGGTCAATCAAGCCGGACATCAAGACGCACGCCATTCCGCATGGACTGCAGGTTGAGAGGGGCCCTGATGCTATTGTTGAGCACCTTCTTGAGGTCGTTCCCCCATTGATTGACCAGTAAAGAGATGCACACTGTTTGTTGCCTTTGTAGATGAAATACAAATGGTTAAATCATGCTGAAATTGAGATGCTCCATTTGCATTGTGAACACTGGGGTTGAAATCATGATGTCCAAATATTGGCTTTACGGGATCATTCAACCAAGATCCGTTCGTAATCATGAAAGACTTCATCTTTTACATTGCCTCCTTGCGCATAGCCTTAGTTGAAATTGGGCGCAACAGCTGATCCCTAAGACTGAGCTCATCAGTCACACATAGACCACGGTAGTTGAAGTCTCTCAACCTGTCACACCATTGACACCTCAGATTTCATCCAACAGGGAAGCTCTATTCTTCGTCTCATTACACCACTCTCTCACTCTAGCCAATCTAGTCCTTGCATAGTCTAGAGTTACATGGATCTCAAGCACACGCCACAGCCAACCCGACCATCTTACTTCTCGTTCTCGAAGACGTTGACCAGAGTGCCGATGTGGGGCAGAATCTCAACCTTGAACTCATCGCCGTGCTTCAGCGTGACCTTGGGCTTGCGGCCAAGACCGACACCCGCAGGGGTACCGGTGATGATGACGGTGCCGGCGGGCAGCGTCGTGCTCTGGGACAGGAAGCTGATGATTTTGGGGATGCTGAAGATGAGGTCACTGGAAATGTCAACGTCAGTGAGTTGGTATTTGAGATGAATTGCAGGCTGGACTTACTCGATGCCGCTCTCCTGGAGAACCTCGCCGTTCCTCAAGCCGCGCATTTGAAGCTTGGTAGGGTCCGGGATGAGGGACTTTGAGACCAGGGTAGGTCCTGCGTTGAATCATGCTGTCAGCATCTCTGCCATCACACCTTGGGAAATCTTGGGAGATTCATCTTACCTAGGGGGCAAGAGCCGTCAAAGCCCTTCGCGAAGCACCATTGCGACTGGTTCATCTGGTACGTCCTGCTGGAGACGTCGTTGCAGGCGGTGTAGCCCAGGACGTAGTCCATGGCGTCCGCCTCGGACACATTCTTGCACGCCTTGCCGAGCACGACAGCCAGCTCGGACTCGTAGTCGCCGCAGTCGTCGGCCTGGGTGAGGTGCGGCAGCACAGTCGGCTCCGGCCAGGGGTTACCCAGCGCCGTGTTGGGCTTCCTGTGATTGCTATCAGCGACAGGGCACTTTTTCGTGAGATTTGCGAAGATCGACTTACAGGAACACGGTAGGAACGTCTGGCAGGGCGACGCCGACTTCCTTTGCATGCTGGATGTACTGCAGCCCGAGTCAGCATTGCATACCCCTTCATGCAATGAGAGATATAGAGGTCACTCACGTTCAGCCCGATGCAGCGGATGGTGCCGACCTCCTCAGCCGAGACGGGCGAAAGAACGCGGTCGATGACGGCCACCTGATCGGTCTTGCTGCCGGGGTTGAGCACGCTAGAGCCGGACCACACAGCGACCTTGACCTCCTTGCCGTCCCGGACAGCCAGGCCGACGTCGACTGACTCTGATTCCGGTTCTCCGATCAGCACCTTACTGGGAGCATCACGGGGGACGAACCGCACGAGGCCTAGGGTTGATTAGCAAACGAGCTCATGAGGGGGACCGGAACGGCTGCCGGGTAAGAGGAAGGGAAGGCTTACGGGAGAAGGTTGATGACGAAGACATGTTGATGGTGTGAGGTTGTGTGTGTGCGTGTGAATGCTCCCAATTGAGATCCAGGCTTCTTTGGCGAAATATCGTAAGATTTTCCCAGCTCGAAGCTCTTCTTCAAATGCAAGTTCGGATGGCGTTCGCGGAGTGGAGGGGTCGAGAGGTTGGTGGGAGGCGTCTCCGAATCGTGGAATCCGACTGGGGCTCCCCGCACCAAGTGCCGATGGGCGTTTTGGGGATTGCGCCGGCTCGGAGGTCCGGGAAGTGTCACACAACAAGCCACAGCAGCTCTGAACTGTGTTTTTCTGCGCATTCGCACTCTCGGCCTGCGCTAAGCCAGATGTTGCACGCACCGCCATTGGTTGCTTCCGTACAGAGTTGATGACATGCGGAAAAGCCGGGCGCGGCCAGGGGCGCAGCTCTGGGGTCGAGTGGGGGGGATGCGAGGATGAGGGGTGTAACGAAGTGGGATGAGGGGCCGGAAAGTGAGGGGTACAGATGTCGGGGGCACATGGGCCGATGGTCGCCGACGTCAGCTTCGTGACATACCCGCGGCAGTTGATACGGTTTTGCTTGATGTGGGCTATGGGTCGTGATAGATGTGAGAGTGACTGAAGATTAATCTGCCGACTTCGCAGCCTTGAACACATAACCTGTCAAGTGGCTGGTTCATCTTTCTGTTATTCAAGCTATCAATTGGAAAGAGCGGTGCATGAAATCAGCAACAGCATCTTCGAGGAGCCCAAAGCACCAAGCAATACCAACTCAACGACTCGGTGTTTTGTTGTCACATCTCAAGACCCACAAGATGGCTGGTGGAGGAGAGCAGAGTCTTCACGGCGGCGAGTATCGCCAACACTTGCCAGACCTCAGCATACCTCGCTTCACGACGATGCAGAAGCAGGATGCTCACGTCTACGCAAAAGAGTTCAAAGAAGGCGGCAACCCGCCATGGTTGCACGCCCTGTATCTGCACTGGCGAAAGCTGTTCAAGGAGCCATACACTGGCATTACGGCAGATGGTAAGTAGATCTTGAAGTTAAGTTGAGACACTGGAAATTGAAGAGAGCTAACACTTCCAACAGGCACCGTAAAAAGAGACCTTTTCCAACTAGCCGACGAGGGCATCCCGATCCAGGACATCGTAGACGCCACCAACGCCGTCCTCTCCCAATTAGACGCCAAACAGAAGGACACCCTCTCCTACCACGTCGACTCGCCAGAGTGGCGCTCCTGGTCGAACCCCGAGTTCCTCCTCAGCGACAAGGGCCTCCGCCTCGACGAGCTTACGCCGCAGCTGCGGGAGAGCATCCTCAAAGTCCTGGAGGCAACCCTGTCGCCCGAAGGTTACGCCAAGGCCTTGGGTGCCATGCGCATCAACGGCTTCCTCGGCGAGCTCGTCAAGGCGCCCAGCATCTGCAACGAGTACTCCTACAACTTTGTGCTCTTCGGCACCCCCTCGGCGACGCAGCCGTGGGGGTACTCGTTCTACGGCCACCACCTGTGTCTCAACATCTTCCTGTATAAGGGCCAGATCGTTGCGTCGCCGTGGTTCACTGGCGCGGAGCCGAACCTTATTGATGACGGCCCGTACAAGGGGACGAGAATCCTGGAGACGGAGGAGAGGCTTGGGCTGCAGCTGATGCAGTCCCTCCCGGCCAATCTTCAACAGAAGGCGCAGACGTACAAGCTGCTGAAGGATCCAGCGATGCCGAAGGGGAGATGGAACCACGACGACCAGAGGCATCTGTGTGGCGCCTACCGAGACAACCGGATCGTGCCGTACGAGGGTATTCTGGTGGGTGACATGACAGCCGAGCAGCAGGAGCTGGTGGTTGGCATCCTCGAGCAGTACCTTCTTTACCTGCCGAAGAAGGCCCGGGATATTCGCATCAACCACGCAAAGTCCTTCTTCAAGGAGACGTACTTCAGCTGGATCGGTGGTTATGGCGACCAAGACCCATTTTACTACCGTGTTCAGAGCCCAGTCATCCTCGTGGAATTCGACCACCATTCTGGAGTTTTCCTGACGAACAAGGAGCCGGCCAAGTTCCATATCCACACGCTACTCCGAACTCCTAATGCTGGTGACTATGGCATGGCGCTTCGGCCGTTGATTCCAGGGGTTGAGCAGGACTTTGTATGGGAAGGGTAATAACCGAGACGGGTGTTTAGAGAGGGGAGGTTAGCGTCATCATCTTGATAATTAAAAGACATTTTGGTCCAATCTTTTCGTTTGATACATTCGTCAATTGTCAATGACCTCGCAAATAGTGATAACGAGTAAATTGGTTGAGTTCTAAGATACAACCAGAGTCTTTTCCATGGTCAGGACTACAGATCCTGCCAGTCCGTTCGCCACCGGCACCTCTGATCCATACACGGCCGGCCAGACACTGATCAATTTGTTCCAAAGGCTCGTGGCAACCGTAATCTCAATAGCTGTAGGCATCGTTAGCACGGCTGGAAAGCTAGCGTTGAAGACAATACGAACCATTTTCTGCGCCAAATGTCACATAGTCCGTGACATCAACCGGCTCGCTGGCGAACCAATCCACACCTTCCACCTCTTGGCCGTTGATCGTGAGTCCCCACGATCCTTCAACCTCGGGCATGTGAAGTAGCACTCGCAGATCCGCACCGTTGCCGACATCCAAAGTGACGGTTGTGTTGTAGACGCCAACGCCTGATGCATGTTCGAGCCCGGTCTTTCTTCCCTTCTAACTTTTTTCGCGAGCCCGGTAATGTTGGTCCACGGCACAAGCGGCGAGGTCAGCTGTATGGGCGCAAGCCAAGTCTTGGATGTTGCTACCGAGGCGTTACCGGTTGCATTGGGGTATTTCGGTGACCAATCCTGGACTCGCAAGGTCCACGTGGAAGGCGTGATGGATTCCGGGATATCGGCAGGGTTGAGTGGAACGGTCTGGTTCGTCGATGTTGTTGCGCTGCATGTCGTGTTGGAAGATATTTGCACCATGCCGTTGCTGACAACGGCCCGACAATCAGTAGAGGTGAGGTGGTTTGATAGAGACTGAACCGAGAATGGGTTTGAAGATCCAATGCTAGAACTCATATTAGTGATGTCCTACGTCGAGGAGTAGGCTCTTACAAAATGGTAGCCACCGCCTCGGGTGCCAGCGTAACATTCAACGAGACGTAGCCGTTCTCAGCATTGAAGGCGGCGAAGGGCTTCACATCGCCGGTCCGCAGATTGATATCATACGGTGCCACGGCCCCTGCAAGTCTAACCGGCAGCTGGAGATGCTCGTCGCCGTTGTTGTAGATCCAGTAGAGATAGCCGTCCCCAACTGTGCGTCTGTATGTTATGACACTATTGTTTCCCGGGCCTTGTGGGTATTCAACAGACGAGGATACGCCCAACCCCGAAAGAGCCTCTGGGACGGCTTCGGGCCCAGAAACGATCCGTGTTGTTGACAGATTCAGGACCTCGGATAATATTGAAGTCAGCTTCTCGTCAGCAGCGTTCTGCTCTGTGTAATATGAAAAGGTCGTCCTTGGCGAGTTACCGACAGGTAGACCGGCCTTCCCATACGATAGCACCAGCTCGGCTGTGCTAATATTCATCGCGGTCTGGTTCTTGATAATTAGCGCCCGGTATCCCGGTCCATCTGCCGCCAAAACCCCATCTTGAACCGCAACGCCATGCTTCTGCAACAGATACGGCGACGAATACTGGTACGAGTAACCCGCATCGTTGAGATTACTATCATCCCAAGCCGCTGTGACGCCCCAATCCTGGTTCAAAATCGCAACGTCAATCGACGCCCCGCTCTCCTGCAGCAGCTTCTGCGAGAACGCCAAATACCTGCTCGCCGCCTTCGCAAACATCCACTGCGGCTGTCTCGGACCCCACGCATCAGCGAACCCGTTCGACGAAGCACCTAGGGGCGTGAAGGGCGCGAAGCCGGGCCACAGGCTGCTCGGCGAATCCTCGTAGGGGAACCCGTGGATGACGTTCTGGCTGACGCCGAGGGCCGAGTCGAGATTTGCCGTGCCGGGGAGGAATTTCCAGGTGACGCCGTACGCTTTGCCAAAGTAGGCGCCGATTTCGTTGGAGAGGATGGTGGTGCGGCCGCCGATGTCGCGGCCGGTGGCGAGGACGCGGAAGGAGTCGGGCGCGCCGTCGAAGCCGAGGGATTCGCCTTCGGGGATGTCGAGGAGGCTTGCGATGTAGGCGCTGTCGAAGTTGAGTGTGTAGGGCTGGACGCGGAATTTCAGGCTGAGGGTGTTGGCCCAGGCGGTGACGCCTGTCAAGCGGTAGTCTTCGTAGAGGTCGGTGATGGTTTTGTAAAAGTCGTTGGTGATTTTGTTTGCGGTGGAGGTGTGTCCGGTGAATGTGTTTGTGTCTTTGAGTAGGTACAAAAGGAAGGGCGAGATGTCGTATCCTCGTCGGGCCTGGAACTCTTGGGTGAGGTTGAGGGTCCACAGTTGCTTGTACTTGAGCTCGAGCGAGTCTTCAAAGATGGATCCATTGCTTCTGCATAGTAGAAGTTAATGAGTTTCAACCAGATTGTAGCCGAAAACTGATGAGACCTACTGGCGAAGGAGTGCAGTGAGCTCTGGTGTGAGAATGTGCTCCTCCCAGTACTTCACCCCGGCTTGCACGCCAGCCTCAGTGAAGTGATCGACGATATATCCAGGGGTCGAGTAAACCTTCGGTCCATCGGGTTGTCCTGTTGAACGTTAGACGGAGGCTGATATCATGCCAACTCAACAATACTTACCGTCGTACATGTTCTGAATCTGGCCAGTGCCACGAGCATAAGCCGCAACCACAACATACGCTCCGTCTGATGGGGCTGTCCACGTCAAAGTCCCATTATCGACAAAATCAGTAATCACAGTCACGGTCTCTGGGTCAAACTCGACAACGGCAGCACTCTCATTCGCAGTCGTCGTCTTGGCCGCTAACAGCGCAACAAGTTTCGGGGTAGCGTGCACCAGATTGCCAGTTTGGTTTCCGGATGGTGCTGCAACAGGGAGCGGTAGGGCCCCCGAAAATTTGTCCCCTGCTTGCACAAAGGCCTGTCCATGGACGAGTTCCTTCATCGTCTCATGGGAATCCGGGGTGTATTCCGGAAAGCCGGTCGGCCAGTGGGGCCCCAAGGTCATGTCGACATGAACGCCGAGTCTGTGCCCGCGTGTGTAAGCTCTCATCTAACAACTCAACTTTGACGACTTCAAACTTACTTGGCAGCGTGTTCATAAGCAGTCAACACGCCGCCGTTCCACCTCTCCTCGCCCCAGCCGTACACGGCGGGGTCCATGGCTCCCTTCACACTGTCTCTGACATCGCCGATCTCGCCGCCACCGAAGCCGGCATCCGCAATGCTGGTGATTTCGGCCGCGACTTGGTCTGGCTCGATCCAGCCTCCGGGCCACCACCATCGAAACCGGGCTCTCTGGTACGTGGACGGCCCCGAGACTTGGCCTGCATGACCGGCTAAGACGTGAGGAGCCAGTAGAGGCAGAGAAAGCAGCGCAGAAGTCGAGAGGAACATCATGTTGAGTGATGAGAGGGGCTATAACCCCCAGAATTAATGGTGTGATGACTTACAGGCCCGAGGCTGTCCTGATAGACTCCTTGGTCTCGGCACTTGAACCTCTAGATCCTCATTTATAATATACCACCCGCTGTCAATCTGTCTCGGGTGAAAGTAGCCCGCTATATCAGAAGCTCACCAAGAGAGTGATGACCAAACACTCACCTAACTTCTGTTCTAAGCTTACCAAGCTTACATCCCAACCCAATCAACATCTCATATCGGGTCACCTTGGGACGAACTCAACTCTAGATCAACGACACACAACCCCCCCGGCATCCCACATGTATCACCTCCATCGACGAATCAAGTCATCCTTCCCCGGATCTATGCCCCTTTCCCCAGATTCCAGGTCCCGTGCCACCAACACTCACCTGAAGGATCTGCATCACCCTTCCATCCCCTCGGTAAATCCCCCAACGACGCCCTATCACAGCGCCTTGTCACGAACCAGGGGTCCAGGCGGAATGTGGGGGACTGCGTCCTCCTCCCCCGCGTTTTCTACCCTGGATCAGCAAGTGCGGCTAAATGCGGGGGACAAAGCAAGCAAGCAAGCAACTGCAACGTGCCAACGGCGTCCTTAGTAAGAATGACAGAGCCAGAGCTTGTCAAGTTTTCCGAGTCTCAAGTTTGCGGTGTCCGGCAATGGACATGGTGATACCAGGCCCTCGTCCAAATGCGGACGCAGACCTCCCATTATCGGTCACGTGGCTTACGTCCGTCTTGCATGCGAACTGCAGACCTACGGGAACACCGGGGAGGGGAAGATCGGTATTTACAAATACTTTAGGGGCCGGGTTCTGTGTCACCCGCAAAGCTTATCAAACATAACGGCCGAAATATCTTGGCCATGTCTCACAGGATTCAGGAACATGTGTCGTAAAAGCCGTCGTCCATCCCCATTCCGGGGACTATTCAGCCTTAAAGGTTCCAAACTGCAGACTTCAAACAAGCTCCATCGAGATCTAGACTCAAAGGTTCTCACTCTCAAACCAACAACCATTCCATTCCCGGTGCGCCTTCTTTCGACACTGCCGAGAAACTTAGAGATAACCTCAGATCCCACCTCATCACCATCCGGAACCTCCCGCACCCTAATTACAGCAGACGCCTCGCCCCACAAGCTCTTCAGAGTTGAGTAGAGAGCGCCTCCCAACGCTTGAAGCCACTGGCTATGTGGCTGGGCATTTCTCGCAACAGCATCCCAAAGCAGACATGGAGAGTCCGTTTGCGTCATTCAACGCTCATTTGGGCTGCGACTCCCCTCACACCAGCCACCTCGTTCCTGACTCTGCCCGCCAACGGGCTTTGTGCTCGAGGCGCCCGGGGGCGTGACGATCGTAAATCTAAACGTTCGCCACGCAACTTATGACTTGAGAGGAGCGGCAGTTGCATGACAAAGAGGTTGTGGCTTGCAGAGCCACAGTCTGAAAGCTTTGCAGCGTAAATGATCTTCACGAGGCATGTCGCAGCATGAGAAACGACGATGGTGGAGATGATTGTGGATGTGAATGTTGGTATCATGAGATTTTGCTGTCTTGTTTAGTATAATTGACATGAATTACAAAGTGGTATGAATGACAAAAGAACTGGGATATCATCGTGAAGCGTAAATGAAAGAACAAATGCATTGTGCGGTGCGCCCATGCTACACTCTCATGGCCCTGAAGTACCTCACCACCCTGTGAAGTGTTGACTGTGAGTTGAATGTCTCCACAGTGTCCCTCGACTCCCGCGAATCCTCCGAGTCCAATGAGTACCTCCTCTCCTTGACGAACTTTGGCCAGGTGTTGGTCAACACGAGATACTTGATGCTCGTCTCGGCATCATCAAATACGCCGGCCGTGAACTTCTCGGGAATGGCACCGAAGTATTGTGCGCGGTCTGCAATCGGTGTCTGAGAAGCGACGTCTGACATGCTGTATGTCTCGGAGCCAATGGAAGATGAAGTAGGCCTGGCCCAGTTGGGATCTTCAAAAGGCACGACTGGGTCGCTGAAGCGTTCTGTTTGGTGGCCGTAGAGAATGCGGGCGGCATCCTCAAAGATGTCCTCGAGGTTCTTGAGATCTTGTGACGCGATATTGATCTGAAATTCAGCGTGGCGAGGGCTGATGAACTCAGTGTAGATGCGCAACGCGCGGTTGAAGCGCTCACGAGTGAGCTCTATGGAGCGCTGCTTGTTCGAACCGGGAGTGGTGGGGATGGAAGACTTCCATTCCCCAACGGCGGAGAGGAAGGCGATGTTCTCCCCCGAGAAATCCCTGAGGGCAGAGAACTTCCGGAGGGGCTCGGGGTTCTTGTCAAGGACGTACTCGAGGGCACCCATTGTGTAGACGCTTTCGGACTGACTTGTGTCCTTCTCAAGTTGTGCAAGGGACTTCCAGGTAGAACCAGTCGACAGATGTGAGCCGACCTTGGTAGAGCCTGTGATAGTGGAGTTTCTCCTGTCGCGTTGCTGGTTCTTGGCTTCCCAGATGGCGATGGACTCGAGAGTCTCTTGGCGGAGGGACTTGTGTTTGATGACTTGCCAACAAGGAACGAAGATGGCAAAGATTTCGATGAAGGTGATAGATAAGCAGATCCTGGTTGAATGGACTGTGAGTATCGTGGGATAGAGTGCACGGGTGATGCTTCATATACATACCACTGAGGGGGGATGAAGTATCTATTGACAGGTGCCATGGCTGGAACATATAAGGCTATAAGCCACATAGGGGTAGCGTGCAGGCTGAGGTTGTTAGTGCGAGCCGGAGGGTTGAGGGCCGCGCAAAACGCTAGTCGTGAATGCCACTCACCTCGCGATACAGCATCCAATGGTCTGGAGTCGCCACCCCTGGGTGTCATTGATGCCACGTGATCTCCAGAGGATGAAGGGCGCGACGATCCAGGCCCATAGGAACTGCCAAAAGACCGAAGGCCACCATTCCCAACCTCTTCCCTTCTCGACCTTCTGCTCTGCCTCGGTGCCCTTGGCCTCGGTACCGGGGATGCCAAACCAAGGATGGTACTTGCGAGAGACGAGCCACATCACGACAGTGAGAAGCAGCTGACGAGAAACTCATGTCAGCCATGTGTTTCCCAAATCTGACAAGGCACGGTCCACTGCTTGTTCCGTTACGTACCTGGAGCAGCATGCCCGTGCTCACGACGGCGAGCATCTTGGTGGTGTAGTCTAGCTTTTGGAACCGTCCCACGAGCGTCTTGTCCTTGCCGTTGCACGGCTTCTGTTCGGGCTGGGGGAGAACTCCCGATGTACCGGCATATCTCCTCTGCGCCTTGGCGACGTGGAGGAAGCGGCTATTCGAGGCGTGAAAGAGGGCGATGCCAAAAGGGAGATAGAGGCCCATTACCCAGAACTCAGCGCCATCAGGCACATAGGAACCAATAGCGAGGCCAATCTGTACTGAAATCCAATAGAGGTGGAGCATGGTAACTGCCCCAAACGACAAAGCCAGACCGCGGATCCTCAAAAACGGCATTTTGCGGTTGACAAAGAGAAATGCCATTCCGCCCAGCACCAAGACTGTCCATAGCCCTCCCCAGGCGAGCCAGAAGAGCGCAGCTGGCTCTGCGTTGAGAGTTGGTGCCGCTGATACTGCTGCCGGCGTGGGCGACGGTGTGATCGTGGCTGCGACTCCATTATCCATGGTTTCTGTTGTTCGAAGTTGACGAATTGCACCATGTAAGGTCGAGGCCGCTTCTAGTCCGTCACATTGGAGTCGAAAGGAGCGTGATGAAGAAATTCCGAGGACATGCCAAGGTAAGGCTTGAGGATAGACTTATATGTTGGAATGCAAGCAGGGTCGCGGAAACAACCTTTCGGTGGAATGTAAATGCCAGTCGCCCATGATTCACAGCGCAAAATCCTTTCGGGGCTGTTGGAGTGTGTCATCATGCCTTTGCGCGGTAACTAAAGGCGGAGACGACACCGGCACACCGTCCTGTAGATCCTTACTGGCGACAACAATAGCGCTGTTATTAGGACTGCCGATCGCATCTCACAAACACTTCAGATGCAGGGCGAATGCTGGCCACAGGTCGACAGTTGGTTCCTGGCCTGAAAGTTGTGGCTAGACCCTGTGGCCCGCGGTGGGGGCCGTTTGAGTGAAACCTGTATGCAGGGCAGCGGCTTCATCCCTTCGGCGGCGCTGCGTACCTTGCCTCCGAAGTCGAGCCTGCAGAGTCTTTAGACGGACAACATCGACGGTCAAGAGTGTGGATCTCTGGTCGCATAAGCTTTTCCTGCATGGGAATGTCGGTGGTGCTTAGCGTCAATGGGTGAAGTGTCTTCCGGGCGCTAACTAGAGCCGGTCGCTGGATCTAGCTGGCGCACGAAAGCATCGTGCCTTTGGCTAGCTTTTGGCGATTCAGCCAGTCAGCTTGCCAAGGGGATACCAACGAGTAGAGCCGTGATTGCGGATCTCTAGGGGAGCCCTTACGCTGGAGGCTTGTCGTGAGTTGCTGAACGGAACAGTAGGTCCAATCGGCGGAATTGATCTGACCTCTCACAACCGTTAAAGCACAGAGTCTTGCATGTATGAGGCTGCGATAGTGTGCCACAGACAGCCAGAGATGGTTCGTGATGAGAAACTCGGACCAGCTGCAAGAGCTTTGGCTTTGGCTCGCCACGGTGCGCATGGAGGAGCGAGCGCAGGGAGACAGAGATGGCGGCAGGTGATTGATGATATGCCATTGGATGGAACCGCGCTTCCTCTTTTTCCGACTTGACCAGCGACGCAAGGGAGATGGAAATGTGACCGATTGGACATCCCAAGAACCGCCCATAGCGTCCGACATCGTAAACAGGGTATTCAGTTCGTCAACATGGTATCGGAGAAAGCCTCCATTGACAGCTGAAAGTCAGGTTCTATGAGACAGTGAGTTCGACCAACGGTCGTCAGCGCCGTGGCGGCGAGGTCGCGAGGCAATGCTGGCTTGAATCGTCGTCATCCTCAGTCTGG